CATTATTACTATTATTATCATTATCATTATTATTATTATTATCATTAATATCATTATTGTTATTTTTATCATTATCATCATTATCATTATTAACAATATTATTGTGGTTATCATCATTATCATTATCAACAATATTATTGTGGTTATCATCATTGTTATTATTGTTCTTACTTTTAAAATTATCTATCTATCATTATCATTGTTAATATTATTATTATTAGAATCATTATGATTATTTCTAGTATTTTCATTGTTACTGTTAATTTTGTTATCATTTTTCTGCTATCATTATCATTATTATTATTGCTTTTCTCTCATTTTGCCATTATCATCATTATCATTATTGTAATTATTAACATTATCATTAGTATTACTATTAATACCACTACTATCATGATTATCATTATCACTACTACTAGGGTTATTATTATAGTCACTATCAGCATCCATCATTATTGTCATCATGATCATGATCATTATCATTGTTCTTATTATCATCATTTTCATTAATATCACCATTACCGTCATCTTCATCATCAATTTCATTGTAATCACTAGTACTCTTTCATTATCATTATCATTAGCAATATTATTAATACTAACCCAAGCCTCATTCTTACCAATATCATTATATCCAATCATATTATTAATATCATTTGATTTACTTATTTTTTTTTTTTACTGTTGAATTACCCTTGGGTGCACATGACTGCCGAAATAATGAAACATACACATATACAATTAGCGTATAATGATCCGTTACAAAAGGGAACAATTAAGGATTCAATGGAATTAAATAATCATGGAAGGAAAGGCGATGAAGTGATAGATCAGCGACCCGTCAGGAAGGTCCTTGGCGCAGGGTCTGGGAAAGGCGTTCCTACAGAGGGGCAGGGGAGCCCGCCGCCCACACGTCCTCTGAAATCAAAAGATAACTTTTCATATGCAGAAGATGAATGAATGAATAAGCCGTTGGGTTATCTATTTTAGTGTTCCTCATGATGTAGGCTAGACGTAAAATATATACGGAAAAACTGTGTGCAAAACTCACCTGGGTATCCATAGCTGGCGTTGGCATCGTATGAGGCCAGAGTCTGTTGCATCATGGATACGTTGCATCCTCTCATAGCCATCTCCATCTTTAAGTTCTTAATCTCTTCTTCTGTTTTCTTAAGACCAAGTCTCATCTGTATTTCCTCCCTCTCATCCTTATCTCTCTTCTTTTTCTGCTTTATCGCCAGCTGCCTGCGCTTCTCCAGTGCGGGGTCGTCTTGTTTCGGCCAGTCGTACATCTTGACTTTGCGTTGTCTGCCGCCGCCCGAGACGGACAGGGGCGGCGAGGGGGAGAGGCCGCCCCCGACCGCCGCCCCTTCCAAGTAGTCGTCTGCGCCAAAAGCAAGCGCCTCCGAACCCCGGAACAGACTCGCCTCAGCACCGTCCGCCTGTCCGTACGGATACGAATGGTCGTCATACGAGGCCGAATGGAGGCCCTGTACGCTCTCCGTCGTGCCATGAGGCCACATCTGAGGCTCGCCCAGAGACCCGTTATAGCCGCCCTCCTCCACGTAATACGGACCACAGTTACCAACAGAATACCCGTCCTGGCCAAAGCCACTGTAGTAGCCTCCTTCGTAAGCTGGCTCCATGCTTGAGAAACGCCACAGGCCAGATACCACTTCTTTCGGCTGCTGTCCAATCGACCTGTGGAGCAAGTCACAGGAGAAGGCCCCTTTTAACGCACGGGGACGATAGCTTCTAGGAAACCAACACTTTCTGTAAATGTCGACGTTTGGTTTCCTCGACGCCGCCCCATCGCGTCAACAGTAAGCCCTCGGGAACCACCGGCCTCAACAACAACGTTCCTTATCCTGCCCAGCAGTCATCCACCTGCCGCCGGGCCTTACGCTTCTCTCGTGTGTCCTAAGCAGCGTGTTTATATATGTTTATTATCGTTCCTGTGCATTTGTACATTTACGATACGCTTAGAGAAAAAAAAACAAATGTGGAAAAGGAATACACTAATGTGTAAAGATTTATAAACAAACCATTCATGTAATTTAGAAGAATATATGAGGCATATATATATATATATATATATATATATATATATTATATATATATATATATATATATATAATATATATATTATATATATATATATATATATATATATATCTATACGTATATGCATATGTATTTTATTTATGTCTATGTATTTGCATATATATATATATATATATATATATATATTAGAGAGAGAGAGAGAGAGAGAGAGAGAGAGAGAGAGAGAGAGAGAGAGAGAGAGAGAGAGAGAGAGGGAGGGAGATATGCATATATTCTGATTTACATATGTATATACATACATATGTGTGTGTGTACATATATATTCGTTTATCTATGTATATAGATAGCTACACATACATATAACAGACAGATGGGCAAATAAACAATTAGATGTGTATATATCAGTATTCCCTTTTATCTATCAAACTATCAGTCAATCATTATATATATATATATATATATATATATATATATATATATATATATATCTTCATACCTGTAGTTATGTAAATGTATGTATATATATGGATACATATATATACATACACTGTGTGTGTGTGTCTGTGTGCATTTGTGTATATATGTGTGTATATATATGTGTGTGTCTTTATCTGTGTATGTCCATGTGTGTGTGTCTGTGAGCGTGTTTCTGTTATTTACTGGGATTTGGTCATTCCGTTTTGGTGTAAATTTCGGTGATTGTTGACAACATAAATATCAAAGACTCACATACAGATACATACAATCACACAAAGGATCATTTTCTGAATCAGTGAGAATCCTGTTCTCATTATCGCCTAATTGTTGTTGTTATCATTGACATCACTCATTTTTCATCATTTCTACTATTATCATCATTTCTATTAGCATCACTATCCATATGATCCTTCTTGGCAAGGGCGCTGCACTGAAGCATTTAGACCGGCATCGCGTGTACATTTATGATTTGCACGACGACCCAGAGGGAGAGGTTATAAAGGGAGGTAGGGGGGGGGGAGGAAGGGGAAGAGAGGAATGAGAAAGAAAGGGGGCTTAAAGGGGAAAGAGATGTGGGGAAGGGAATCCGAGGGGAAAGGACACGACTTAAAGAGGAGAATGGCATAGGGGAGGGGAAGTGGAATGGGAAGAGAGAGGAATCTGAGATGAAAAAGGAGGATGGGAGAGAGAGAGGAAAAGGGAAAAGGGAGCATAGGAAGTGTGGGCGATGAAGGAGGAAGAGAAGGGGAGTGGGAGTCGCACATGTAGGGATGAGAGTGGGAGGAATGGATTAAATGAAGATTTAGGAGTAAGGGGAGGCGGAAGAGCGGGAATGGGGAAGGTAGAAAGAAAAAGGGAGAGAGGAAAGGAACGATAAAAGGAGGGGGTTTTCCGCAGACATTTCACGGGTCCCGCTAATTGTTATCAGTCTTCTCATTATTTCTGCTATCGTTATGATCATAATCATTATAACTAATATTATTATTTGCAATATCATCTTATCATTATCATTAGTCATCATAATTACTGTCAATGTTATTTATATATTTTTAGCATTATCACCATAATATTATATTTATTATCATTAGCATTA